TGATCAATCTATAAATTTAAAAACAACGATTGGTGTTTAACAACAACCAACCTTTTAACGTTTGTTTTTACTTTAAAACAACGATTGGTGTTTAACAACAACCAACCTTTTTTATAGATTGATCAAACGTTTGTTTTTACTTATAGATTGATCAGAAAGTTCGGTTGTTGTTAAACACCAATCTACGTAGAGGGTTATCTGTGCTCTGCCCACCACAAGTATGAAAACCTACTTTTTAGCGTCATAAGACTGCAGACTTACAACTGAGCCACTAAGGGGGTGGGTGGGGGGACTGTATTAAAAAAAAGCAACGTAACCTTATTTTCATTTAGAAAGCTGGCCATAAATTATCCAAATTACTACGGATGAATTCTTGTTTATTTTAAGATTGCAAAATTGAAAACTGCTGAAATGTGTTAAGTAAAAAAAAAAAGTAAAGCTACGACATCTAAGTTGAAATGGCACTTTTTATTAAACATATCCATAACCTTCTTCTAAGGTTTACAAATACAACGAACCGACTAATTCCGGGTTACAACGTATTAAAAAGCAAGTACGACGTGCATGAGTTTTAAAAAAATCACGAATTTCAATTAAAAAAAAACGGAAAATCTCTGGCAATAATGAATAATCCATTAATCTCTTAAAACATAATCCATTAATCTTTTAAAACATAATCCATTAATCTCTTACAACATAATCCATTAATCTTTTATGTTTTATACAAAATGGAATAAGATACGTCCTTTTAACATTATATTGATCTAGAAAAAGAAAAAAAAAGATCTACTGATTGAATACAAGTGCTTGAATAATACAATATTTGGTGGTTTTTTTTTTGGAAATGAAGCAAATACTATTTGATAAAATCAAACACGTGTTCTAGAATTTGAATGAATTCCAATTATGATGAAAGAATTACACGACTTACACGATTTTTTTCCATAAAGTATATTGAAATAAATAATTGGCCACGTTTTTGAAAAACAAACAATACTTTGTGTATTTTTTAAGTAAAATACTAGTCAATTTGATATAAATGAAACGGTCTTTTATCCTGTATTATTAGGATAAAGTATCAAAAATGATGCACTTGTTTGAGTATCGATATACAAGGGAAGTTAATGATAATTAAAGAATCTATAAATTATCTAATAGGTAAGAGGTGTATTACGTTACATTCCAGGTCCTTCGTTAATATAAGTTTAAAATATGGTAATTTACAGAACAATATATCATTTTTATTATCTGCTTTCAACATAACTTGTTTGCTTTCCTGATTTTGCAGTAACTAAACATTACACCATAGGCAAGATATATTACTGCAGGTAGTTGTGAGGAGATAAGCGGTTCGTCCATCTTTATCTTTTTATCTGCTGTGCAACGTAGATATTTAAAGCGAAACGCTGGCGGGTCATGATCTATGAAATTATTTTAATTGTATATTATTTGTATACTTTTAAAAGTGTTTCACATTTTGTCACAAAAATACGAAAGTTATTAAGTAATAGAGGCGAGTCCTAAGAAGGTGATTAGCTTGTAAGTCACATTATGTGCTCTAGTGTTAGAGTAAGCAGGACACAGTGTTGAACGTAGCAGCTATATATTTAGTATATACATTTATGTACATTTATTAAAGTTCGAAAAACATAAACCACAAAAACATCATATTTATATTCTTGATCATGGAACAAAATGTGCATGAAAACACAAAACTACAAAACAACAAAATTATAGCTATTATGTCCGTTTTGTATTCCTCGAAGTGATTATGAGGGACGGAGAGATGTCACTATTAAACAAATTGAAACCAGAACTTATGAAGGGGTTTCGACAGTTACCTTTTTAAAACATGAAGTATTTCCTCAATAACAATATACATAAAATATTCAGGGTTTCCCGTGGGTTAACGAATTGTAATTTGGGTTTTCGCGTGTAATTTAATTCTATCTTCATAATACTCCTCTTATGTTGAATTTTGATTTTTTTTTCGTAAAAGTTATTTATATTGATTTATTCCCTAACAGGTTAAAACGTATGACTATAAAGCACTTTATCCTTTCCACCTATGGGATCTTATCGCATTTTTCAACCAGCTGGAAACTTACATTAAGAATCCTAGTGAAAAAGATTACGCTTTCAGAGATCTCGTTCAAAATGTCGTCATGGATTTTGTGAAGTTAGGTGAACCTCCTAAGATGCATTCCGAATGGCTGAAATTTCCTAAATCTGTTGCGTTATTGGCTGAAAACGTTTCTGTTTCTGATAGTTACCACGCTACGCAGTGTAAATTTTGGAAACACCAGGGTTTGACGAGGTACGCTTGGGTAAGTTAAAAAGAGGGAGAGGAAAACATGGTTTCATGTTGTGAGTTAAAACTTCATGTTGTGAATTACAAAATCATGAAAAGCCGTAAAACACACAATTATCTTGCAAATTACTTACGTGACAATATCTAAATTATCTAAGTTATTTGGCATGTTTACATGACTTCCACAATACTAATCATGCTTATCGATTTAAATTCGATTTTTTAAGTGAAGTTATTTGTCATGTTTACATTAATTCCACAATACTAATCATGTTTATCGATTTAAATTCGTTTTTTCAAGTGAAGTTATTTGGCATGTTTACATTAATTCTACAATACTAATCATGCTTATCGATTTAAATTCGTTTTTTCAAGTGAAGATATTTGGCATGTTTACATTAATTCTACAATACTAATCATGCTTATCGATTTAAATTCGTTTTTTCAAGTGAAGATATTTGGCATGTTTACATTAATTCCACAATACTAATCATGTTTATCGATTTAAATTCGATTTTTTAAGTGAAGTTATTTGGCATGTTTACATTAATTCCACAATACTAATCATGCTTATCGATTTAAATTCGTTTTTTCAACTGAAGTTATTTGGCATGTTTACATTAATTCCACAATACTAATCATGCTTATCGATTTAAATTCGTTTTTTCAACTGAAGTTATTTGGCATGTTTACATTAATTCCACAATACTAATCATGTTTATCGATTTAAATTCGTTTTTTCTAAGTGAAGTTATTTGGCATGTTTACATGACTTCCACAATACTAATCATGTTTATCGATTTAAATTCTATTTTTTACGTGAAGTTATTTGGCATGCTTACATTACTTTCACAACACTAATCATGTTTATCGATTTAAATTCGTTCTTTTAAGTGAAGTTATTTGGCATGTTTACATTGCTTCCACAACACTAATCATGTTTATCGATTTAAATTCGATTTTTTAAGTGAAGTTATTTGGCATGTTTACATTACTTCCATAATACTAATCATGCTTATCGATTTTTTCAAGTGAAGTTATCTGGCATTTTTACATTATTTTCAATACTAATCATGTCGAAATGCTGAGTATGAACAAGTGTCTATAAACAACACAATGCATGGAGCCATTTTTAAATACTAAATGATTTGTTTTAGATATTTCACGCAAAGAAGTTATCTGCGCATGGCTGTCTCTAATTTGGAATTGATTCACTAAACGAAAAAATTTGTTTATTTGAAGGTAAGCACAAAGCTACACAATGAGCTATCTGTGATCTGCCAACCACGTGTATCGAAACCTGGTTTCTAGCGTTGTAAGTCCGCAGGCATGCCGCTGTGCCACTGGGGGGCAAACTAAAAAGAGTTAGTCAACCGCATCTATTGCCAACTCTTGGCCTGCTCTAAATAAAGTATTTAACCTTCACTCACATAGCCCACCAACAGTCTCAAACCTGTGGAGTGAGTTTTTTTCCGTCAACGAGACACGAGCCATGTATCCATCTTTAGACTTACAGTTCCGATACGCTTACCAATTGGTCACGGTCAACCCAAAATGCTAAATAAAATATATAAAACATAGAAAATAGGCTACATAGTAATTCAGTGATAAAACAAATACATTGTTCTAACCCTCAAATATATATATTTGTTTGGATTTATTGACATAAGTAGAAACTGTTTGTACTCTAAGGGAAAAGCAATGGAAAATAAAGATATGTGCTGCCCTCTGTCGAACTAAGGTAGATGTGAACACGATGTCCTAAATGAAGTATTTGTTGTGCTCAGTGTTGCTTAAATAAATTATAACATGTTTAATTCAGAAGAAGTTTATCCAAAGAGTCGTTAAACAGTAACGAATATAGATGAATTTTACAGGTTACAGAAATTATTGCCAAATATATTTTCAATGTAGTTTTCGAAGCCATCACTTTGAACACAAACTTAGAACATACAAAACATGAAAAATATACGTTGGCTTACCATTGTTGAGGGCTGTGCTGTAACTATGTAGCGATATACAGAAGACTTCATATTATTAGTGTAGGCAGAAGCTAGCTGAGTCACTGGACATGTCTGTCGAAGGTCAGTTACCATTGTGGTGTAGAGTTCTTCAATAGTCCCAGAATCTGCAAGTGTAAAAGTAATCGATGTCATACTTCTTATAGTATAAATCATCAAACTAATTCATTGTTACACGAGTGTAGAATTAATCGATGTCATTCTTCTTATAGTATAAATCATTAAACTAATTTATTGTTACACGAGTGCAGAAGTAATCGATGTCATACTTCTTATAGTATAAATCATCAAACTAATTTATTGTTACACGAGTGCAGAAGTAATCGATGTCATACTTCTTATAGTATAAATCCATCAAACTAATTTATTGTTACACGAGTGCAGAAGTAATCGATGTCATTCTTCTTATAGTATAAATCATCAAACTAATTTATTATTACACGAATGTCGAAGTAATCGTTTTAAAGTATAAATCATTAAATCAATTGTTTATTACATTAACACCTTTTTTTAAAAATATGTTAATCATTATTAAGCTTGATTTTTATATGTATTGTGTCCAACTAACTCTTCCCAAAGTTTTGGATCCAGCAGGACTAAACTTGGCAAGCGGAATCGGGATGGCCAAATAGATGTCTTTATCTATATGACGTATCCCTTCATCAAAGTTGTACCAAGGAGGCTAAGACACCATCGGAAGCCTACACAGGCCCAAAGAGTGTCTAATGTGGGCTTTCCGGGTCGCTGAACCCGAATGTGATACATAAGTACTGGCACCCCTCGGATTCTGGTGGTGCGTTGTTGGAAAATATGTTTAGACCATCACTCATAAGCTAGTAAACCCAAACTTAATACACATGCTCAGGTACTAAGAACCATACTAACGTATTTTGGAGGAGTGGAGAATCCCCCTTGTGGTAGAGTAGTTGGGGATAATGGAGGAGATTGACTGCTGCATTGGGGCTTTGTGAATCATATGGGAGTCTTTGAATCCCCCAACAAATTGCAGGGATTTTATGCCAGTGTTTAACATTCATTCATAATGCATATGCTGTGTACTTGTGAGATACTTGTCGTGTACTTAGTACTTTACAATTCCTTTTTTACCACTTGCATTGTTTTATAGATAAATGTTTGATTATATGATTCATTTCTGTACCTGCTTTTAATTTCAAATCTTTTAATGCTGTTTCACACCAAATTATATAGTAACAAGTGTTTGCTACGTGCATGATTATAGTTGTAAGCAGCATAAACATATTTGTACAGACTAAACTTGTGGTATTCTCAGGTACATTAACTTCCCCTTAGTGTATTTGGGTAGGTTCGACAGAAGTTCTTTTGCAGGAGTAACTCTGAACATTCTGAGTCTATGTCGTGAAAAGGAATGAGATTAGAAACAGTGTTTTGGACATTTCTGGACCGATTTACACTTTATGAAGGTCTTCACGGACCTCAGTATGTAATGGTCCTGCAGAAGGGGTATGCACATTTGATGACAGTGATGTTTTGTAACTGGACACTCTTTGATGGGTATTTCCCAAACCTTAAGTCGTCTTTGATTCTTCTTTCACTAGCATGGTGATGGCTCAGGAGTTTATATGATCATCATGGGTTGGTTGAGCTGTGGAAAACTTGGTTTTACTAGCAGGCTGGATGTGGTAAACAATTCAGCTGCTGCAGGCCCACCTTCTTTGGACACCAACATTAATGGCTCTTTGGCAGTCTGTTGTGATGGCTTGAAATACTTCATGGTCAGCCAATTAATGGCCTTGGCCAGGTCCTGAATAATGGATATGTTAGGAAGCAATGCAGTTCCATCCATGGACTCTTCTGAGTCGGAGGTGAGGCTAGCCCTTGGGGTCTTGAGGATATCTGGGTTGGCCTCCAAAAAAAAATTATCAAGGTTATCAAAGACTATAGTCTCTTATTTAACGGTAGCAATGTAAGGCATGTTTGATCAGCAACAAAAACTACTCTGGTTGGTTGCATGGACAAGACAGCCAGAAGGGTTATGGACTTGAACTTAAATAGAGAAAGTTAAGATTGAGATGTAGGGTCAATCAGATTCTGATTGGTCAGAGTTTTATGCTAGAGGTGTAGGTTTAAAATTGCAATGGCTCAGGTGCAACAATTCTCTAGCCTAAAGAACCTTCTATACACAAAGCATTAACAGTATTTCTGTATAAATGATACTTATACAGGCTTTAGGTACACTCATATGTATATTTCCTGTATACATTGCATCCCTTTCACATGTGGATGTCCCAGCCCGTCCAGGCGTCATCAGGTTGTATTCCTGATCAACACTCAGCTGTGCTGTCCACTGTCATTGTTACCATGACAACAGCTAAAACAGCAACTCTGGAATTCAACTATATTTTTTTTCACTACTTTATGGTTGTTATGCAAACAGAACCTTGGTCCAGTTGGAAAGAAATGGGGGTTGGATAGTACTGGTTCTTACACGAATAACAGAAATAGGCTAGCCACTAATCAAATGATAACTCCTATCTTTTTGACCATAGGAGTCTATTAACGTTGATGACTCATATCCATTAGATACTTCTCAGATGAAAGTTTAGGATAACTTCAAAATGAACCATGTGTGTTTTAGTTGGTCTGCATCCTCATACATTTCAACTACACCTTGTATTGAAAGTGTGTTAAGAAAACATTCAGTAAAACTGTATACTGCCAAGATATCTAAGTTTACACAATTTAAAATATTCAATAATAACTAAACAAAACACTGGGTAAACCATGTTTAGATATAAACATGTTTGTGGATTTTACTTTTAACATTCAACTTTTCGTGCTCTTGAATGTTTCAGTTTGATCTATTCGAAAATATTTTTCACTATTATCAATGAAAACACTAACGCAAACTGTGTTTTCCATCAAACATAATGTAAGCTTTCCCATGACTTTTATCTCTTTGGTGAAAGTCCTCTACCTATTGAATATCACAGTGTCAAAACTGAGAAACACCCTTACTAGCATTAATAAGAATATTGGGTATACAGCATCTTCAAATAATGCCCCAAAGGCCAAAAACCACACTTTGTTTCATATCTCAAAGTCTTGACATTGAGATCAAATTCATTGTTTTCGTTCATATGTTATTGACAGTTGTATTATCTGTGTAACTGATACATCAATGTTATACAGCACTCCTGAATGCCTTAAAGTAAGATCTATATATACACGTCCAACACTTCACACGTAAAAATATTCACACACACATATATCGCCATATACATATCTCTCAATGTTATATATCATCACATGTGCTAATAGCTTTAAACACATTTTTCTGGCTCAAGCACCACTTAAATAAACACTTATTTGATTCGTATTGTGCACTGTGCAAGAACACAACTCCATCACTGTACATGGAGGAATTAGAGAAGTTACAGACGTTCTCTAACTAGTATTGTGTGGCCTACTCCATAGAAATTGTACGAGCAATTCTCGAAAAACGTCTTGCATACATTTCACACTACAAAATAATTTCATGGCTCAGAAAGTAAGAGAGTTTACATACGATTTTGGCCGAGTTCTCGAACTACTTGCTATCATCATCAGTCATACACACGCTTGATTTTCGAGGTATTACACCTACCAACACATTACATCACAACTATGTAGTAATCAAACAGTCACCACTCTATATTCTGGGCTCTTCACTATAAAGGAAAATCAATATATCTTTGATGGAATTTATTTTCTACAGGCCCACTTTTCAATCGGGCAGTGCACATTGTACAATACTTTGACTCAAATATGGCCAATAAAACAGACATTGTATGTTTATTAGAAGTGTGTTTAACACCTTAGTGTCATCTAGGTTTTGCATCATTCTGAAGTGTTTCCTACGTAAGAGTTCTGTTGATCACTAGCATGTCGAGAACGATATACCTGTGGTTCTTGCCTAAGATCTCTGTTAACCACTAGCATGTTGATAACCATATATCTGTAGTTGTTGCCTAAGAGCTCTGTTGACCCCTAGTATGTTGAAAACCATATATATCTTGGGTCCTGCTTAAGATCTCTGTTGACCACTAGCATGTTGATAACCATATATCTGTAGTTTTTGCCTAAGAGCTCTGTTGACCACTAGTATGTTGAAAACCATATATATCTGGGTCTTGCTTAAGATCTCTGTTGACCACTATCATGTTGAGAACCATATATCCGTGGGTCCTGCTTAAGATCTCTGTTGACCACTAGCATGTTAATAACAATATACCTGTAGTTCCTGCCTAAGAGCTCTGTTGACCATTAGTATGTTGAAAACCATGTATATCTGTGGGTCCTGCTTAAGATCTCTGTTGACCACTAGCATGTTGAGAACCATATATCCGTGGTTCCTGCCTAAGAACTCTGTTGACCACTAGCACGTTGGGAACTATATATATCTGTGGTTAATAACAAATATACAGCACAATCTACTGCACTGGTAGATGCTCATACACCTTTCAGCATCCATACTATATTCCTCTTTATATTCTGGCTGTGCTCCATCTTGCTGGATCCAAACCAGACCTGGGTCCTTCAGTTTTTATTTCTATACCAGAAACGGATTAAACTCTAACAGAGGATCTAGGGCTTCTTCTTGTGATGAAGTAAACTATCAGTGTCCGTGTGGCAGACCTGGGTGATTCAGTACTACAAAGTCATAATCTTGCATCATTGCTATTCAACGTACAATCACCCCTTTCAGATTTCTAAGGTTCATGAGCCAATCAAAGATGTATGGTCCACATGAATGATGAGCATTTTAACATACTGGTAGTGTTTGATTTAGGCCACAGCTGTAAGTAGATCTTCCTTCTTCGTGCAGTATCCACATTTAGGAGCTGTCAATGAACAACTTGCAGATCTAATTACACATTTCACATCACCCTGTAACAGCAATAACAATGTCCCAATTCCACTAACACTAGATATATCCAGATAATTGCTACATTTAATAACATTGTCCCAATAATGAATCAATGAACAACTTGCAGATCTCATTATACATTCCACATCACTCTGTAACAGCAATAACAATGTCCCAATTCTACTACCACTAGATATATCCAGATAATTGCTACATTTA